ATCTGTACCAGCGTACATTCTCTGGTCTAGCCGGATTTGTAAGGTAGAATTGGGATCATGATAATGGGGGTGGGTGGGAAGAGGAAGCATTAGAGAACTAGAGGAAAGTTGTATGTTTCATCGTTGCTATTCTGTACCCTGACTGGCTCATCTCCTCCCCATGACCCTTCTGTAAAGGGATGCCCATTTGCCTACAGAAGGCCTTTGGTCTCCACTCCACACTCCCCCTCATTCACAGATGGCAACTCTTTCCAGGAGTAGAAAACCCCATCTTTCTCCCTCAGAGCGGCCAGTGGTTTTAAACTGCTAACCTTGCGGTTAACAGCCCAGTGCAGCAAACCACTACGCCACCAAGAATTACTACTTGGTGGTGGTTGATTTTGACTCCCAGTGACCCTGTGGACAGCCGAGAACTGCCCGGAGGGCTTCTCAGGCTGTCATCTCTACAGGGACAGAAGCCAGGCCTTTCTTTGACCGCACTGCTGGGTAGGTTCAAACAATTGGCCCTCAGTAAGCCCTTAAACACTAAACTATTGCACCATATAAACTCTCAGGATTAAGGACGGATGATCCCTTCAGGACCAGGGGTGAGAGTGGCAATCCTGGGAGGGTGGGTTGGAAAGGGGTAACCGATTACAAGGATCTACATATATATAACCTCCTCCCTGGGGGACGGACAACAGAAAAGTGGATGAAGGGAGACATCGGACAGTGTAAGATAATGACAAAATAATAATTTATAAATTATCAAGGGTTCATGAGGGAGGGGGGAAACAGGGAGGGAGGGGGAAAATGAGGAGCTGATGCCAGGGGCTTACGTGGAAAGCAAATGTTTTGAGAATGACGAGGATAACGAATGTACAAATGTGCTTTATACAATTGATGTATGTATGGATTTTGATAAGAGTTGTATGAGCCCCTAATAAAATGATTAAATGAATAAATAAACTCTCAGGATTAAACCTGAGTGCCAACCACAATATATTTCAAATATGGTCTACCAGCCTAGAATGCCTTGCTATATGCCTGGCTTGACTCTTCTTTATGAATTAAAAAGCATGGGACTGGGATGAAGGAGAAGGAGAAGGTAATGTCCAAGATGATAGAGGGAGGGTGAAAACACTGTGTCCATCCATCTCCTTGAGAGGCTTCCTCTTTTGACCAGGCGTGATGTCCTTTCTCCAGGGACTGGTCCCTCCTGACCACAGGTCCAGAATCTGTGAGCCCAAGTCTTGCTACCTTGGCTTCCAAGGAGGATTCTGGCTATACGCCTCCCAGGGATATCTCTATTTAGGTCTGATACATAAACGGAAGGATCCTCCTCTTCCCAGGTTCCAGACCCAGCTCAGCCACTGACAAAGCTGTGCTATTTTGAGAGATTCATTTCCCCAAACCGCACTAGTCTCTTCCTCGGGGAAGCTAATTATAGAATCGCCAAATGACCAGTCCAGGTCCACCCGTTTGGGTTGTCCTCTACCAGCTGTGCCATCCTTCTAGAAGGGACGGGCTCTCCCACTCGTCCATGGCATCTGACCAGCTTAACTAATGGGGACAGTGGCGGCGAAGCCAGGAAATAAGCAAAGGCATTCATCCTGCTGGCAAACGGGGTGGCCTCGGACTTCTCTGTCTGGAGCCGGCCTGGATGAGATGGGCTCGGCTCGCTAACCTTCCTTTCCTGCCGCTCCTTGACAGACGTTGTGCTAGAGGCCGGCCCTCCCCCATGCTCTCATTGACCAATCAAGACAGACCTCCGTGAGGGTCTCCCTCTCTTCCCCTCAGCCTCCACCCCTCCACCCTACCCCTGCCCCTTTCTCCCTCCACCTCCTGCTCTTCCTGCTGTTGTTGGGTGCTGCCCCGGGGATCCCCGCTCACAGCACCCCGTGTGACACAGTAGAACTGCCCCCTTAGGGTTTTCCCAGGCCGCAATCTTTGCAGAAGCAAGCCACCCAAACAGCCAATGGGTGGGTTTGAACTGATAACGTTTTTGGTTAGTAATCAAGTGCTTAACCACTGCACCATCCATGGCTCTTTGAACCACTAACCAAAACCTTGATCCGAACCCACGGCCACTGACTTTCTTCCGACTCTCAACCCGAGGCTGTAACTCTTTCCAGAGCAAAAAAAAAAACCTTTCATCTGTCTCTCAAGGGGTGGCTCGTGGATTCAAACTGCTGACCTTGTGGTTAGCAACGCAGTGCGTAACCCACTAACATCTCCAGGCTATAGAGCAACTAAGCCCAGTGAGAGAGGTTCTCTGTTGTGGACGCCACTCATTTCCTGCCCAGCTGCCTCCTGGCCAAGTGTGGTGCTGTG